CCAAACCTACTCGGTGGAAGGAGAACTTTAGAAAAAGAATGGAAAAATGACCCATGGAATCGTTCTTTGTTCTCAAGCTAGTCCAAAGTCTGGATCTTCTTTCAACAAACTCCTAGCCCCTTCCAATCGGAAGTGCTCAACAAACTCTTTCTTAAAAAGCTAGGATTTAATGGCCAAAAAAAACCCCTGATCTGATTCTGAATGCCTTCTGGATGTAATTCCCTGTTTTGAGGAAAAATATGGGACAGGGGAACATCTTAAATGACACCACAGGGATATAATCAGCATAATCCAGAATATGAGTGTGTGTATGTGTGTGTGTGTGTGAAACCACAGGAAAAACCACACAGCCAATCATAAATCACAAGGGGAACTTATGGATTTAAAGAAACTGAAGAGATGTAGCAAACAAATGCTATGTGCAGACCTTGTTCAGATTACATTCAAACAAACCATTATAAAAAAATAAATAAATAAAAAATAAATTGATAAAATAATCCCAAAAAATTGAACACTGATGGAATATTCACTGAAGTTAAGAAGAGATTGTTACCCTCTTTAGATGTAATCATGGTGCTATGGTAATGTTTATACAAAGCCCTTATTTCCTTTCTTTTTCACCTCACCATGCAGCATGCCGGAGCTTAGTTTCCCGTGAGCGTGTGCTAACACCGCTGGACACAAAGAGTCCAGCTCTTTGTAACCCTATGGACTGTAACTCACCAGGCTCCTCTGTCCAGGGGATTCTCCAGGCAAGAGTACTGGAGTGGGGTGCCATTGTGTTCTCCGCTTACCAATGCTTCAAACAGCTATAGTATCAGAACTGCCCCTCTCTCCCAGGCAAGAAATGTAAAAATGGCTTCCCTCTTAGGGTGAGTTTTTGACATCATCACCATCCAGATATTAGGGTCACTTTAGCACAAACTCCATGACATGTCCTGCATGAGAATCTAGTGGCCTAACATAATCTCTAAATGACAAAGGCCCATTATTTCTAAACCTAATAACTGTATCCTTTCTTTCTGGCCTTACAAATTAATCCCAGATTTTTCTAGAGCCTGACTGTTAGCTGATATAGTATAACAAATCTGGCTAATCTCAGACCAGAGATACTTTGCCTGACAAACTTAGTTATTCATTCATTAATTTATCTTTGAGATATAATTATGGCAAACCTATCTTGAGAAAGGAACTCTGGGTATGGTTCTCAGGGCAGCCTCGACTACCTTCCAACAAATGCCCAGGCTCTCTGTGCCCAACTGCACTGGGCTCAAGATGTCTCCCTGGCATATGGTCTGGAAGTGAATGACAGCTAAGCACTGATCACTGATTTTGATGGGGTAACAAGGAGGCGCCTTATCTGGCTTGCTGCAGTTTTTCACACCCCTGCACTCAGCCCCAGTCTCTGCCTGTGTAGACCACATGCCTCATGTCATTTCTTCCTCTCTCTACCTCTCAGGACCACCCCCCTTACTTTTCCAAGGAGACTTGGGATTCTCCTTCTTTTGAACCCTGGTTCTGCCTCTCTACTCTTCTCACTTGACAACCCTTTTATAAGCATTACCTACTCGAATACTCCTCAGACACTGAGCTGCCTACAGTGTCACTCCTAGGATCCTTCCATATTCTCCAAGAGCTCTTCAAGAGCTTTCTGACCAACCAGACTGTGACATGCTAGAGGCCAGAGGAGCATTGTATATCCTTCCAGATCCTCCACAAAGCCCAGCACAGGGCTTGCTCTTGATACTGGTAAATATACCTTGCTTGATTGACTAAAGATCAGTTTGCAAATGTCAAAGCTCTGCAAGTCCACAGAGCTGGTGTCAATTAAACATGCCACTACTGGTCTACATGGCTTCTTTGAGAAATTTTTTTAAGGTGCTTTCTGGAGAACTGATAAAGTTTCTCTTGAACTGGTTTGTGTACAGGTAAAAATCCCATCAACTCAGGACCTTCACTGAACATCAGGCATTCAGCCATAAAATGAACTGAATGAATGAATAGCTGAAAGGTGCCCCTTCCTGCAGGAAGATGCAGCCCACACCAAGGCATAGAACTTGGAGCCTGAGACAGAGTTCAGCCTTCCCTGATCTGGCACTCCTCAGGGTAGGCACAACCTATGCAACAGTGCATGTGACCCTGGGACCAGAAGCAGAGAGCCCTGCCTTGAGAGACTCTCTGATGCCCAAAGTGCCATATCATCCAAACAGGTTAAGAGGCAGCACTACGGGTGTGGCGACACTGCTACTCACAGAAGCCGGCACCTAGCCGAGCTCTTCAGCCTCAAATGGTGAAGCAGGCCCCTCGCAGGGCCCAAGTCAGTTCAGTATGAGGAGGAAAAGACTAATTCAGCCTGAGGTGACAAAGGGTAATACAGCAACAGGAAAGAGCCAGGAGTCCACTCCCCCAGAACCTCAGTTCCATTCCCCTCTGGGGTCAGTAAAATGATCTTCCCCTTATCTGACCCTCCACCTACCTCTATTCACCATGTAATTCCCCCAAATTCACAAGCTGGCTTGAAACTATGCCAGTGCTCTTTCCCAAATGCCCAGAAGCACATGCCACAGGGCTTTTTCTCCATCAATGGGCCAATCTGTTCAGCAGAATCTCAGAACAGAACATGCTAAATTTGGCACTAGGTACCTGAGACTCTGGGTGAGAGGAAGTGAAGCTATTCGGATGCTGAAGGAGAGACATATCATGGAGGTGCGGCTCGGCTGAGGTGCCCAGACAAGCGGATATCAGCTGGAAGAGTAAATCCCATCTCCTAAGGGCCTCCAATCCCCAGCTTTGGTGACAAACAGCCAGCTCACCCTCTGAGTTTGATAGCTGTAAGACCATAGCTAAACAGGCCCATGTGTATCCACTGCCTACAGCCAAGAGCAAAATTATGTGACTGCTAAATCCAGCAGGAGCCCATGATTCCCTACCCCACAGAGGTTCATGGGTCTGCCCTGTAGCAGAACATGTAGACAGGGTATAAAAGAAATACTGAAAAGGAATATGGATAGACACTAGCCTCTTCCTATCTCTTTGAGCTGTCCAAGTCTTTCCAAATTTTCATATGTTTGGCTCTGCAACATCAGATAAACGATAAGCAGAGTAGCCTGCTTGGTTACCAGAAGGGAAACGTCGAGTTTCCCACATAGAGAACTCCCAGTAACAAGGTGTTTTTCCACACAGCTGTAGAGGTTTTCCCTTGGAGGGAGTGCTCTAAAGCCTGAGTGAGCCTCCCTCGAGCTAAAACTCAAAGAGCAGCTCAACACGCAGCAAAATGGACAGTATTTGCAGTGCTAAGAACTGTGTGCTCTACAACTGCATTACCGAAAAAGCTAATGTAAAATGGGCAAATCCCCCCTCTAATAGGGATGGTCACACACTGGCTTGTCTGCGGCATGTTTCAGGCTACTGAGCGCTTATCATTACCGTTAATTGTCTAAGAAATGACTTCTGAGAAAATAAGCCCATGAGGGGCACAGTTGGGCAGCTGAAGAAGCAAAAATTATGCTCCCTTACAGTTTGTGGGACACACAGAAAAACCAAGGCAACATTTATCAGCAGACTCACATGGATCCGAGGCACACCCCAGCTTTGCTACTCCCCAGGTCTATCTGCTGTGAAGATAACGCCTTCCATTTTATCTTGTTGTCTCTTAGCTTTCCTGAGTTTTCAGTCGACTGATTTATTATATATTGGCATTTCCTTCCACTGCACTTACTGCCACTTAATTGTTTATAAGACCGTCATATGCATTTTAAAAAGCTGGTTTCATAGTATTTGATCAGATATGTTCTGTTTAAAACATGTCACTGATTTGAGGCCGGACTCTAAATCATGAGGCAACAGAACGTATTTGGTTCTAGATGATTCAACAGCATTTTTGCTTCACCCCAAAGTGTTTCACTAAACCATGGTGAAAGCACATGACCCTGTTAGTACTGTTGAGCCTAAATAAGTACCTTTTGGTGTCCAGTTCCCCTCCTCCAAAGATTTTAGCTACTAAATGCCTGAGGAAAGCGCATGACCAAGTTCATGGTTCAACTACTTCCACATCTTTCTGCTCCTCACAGTGACACTTATCTTCCCTGACAGCCACTCCCATTGTGCTCTTTCCTCGGCCCAACACAATGGACACGGCAGATACCAGCAGACAGGGAGGACGTTTTCCATCCCATTGCTCCCCAGTGCGGAGGGACCAGGCTGAGGTTACATAAGCCCCTCCTTAGCCCAGCATTGGGGGTGAAGAGAATTTGGGGTTCGTGACGAAGTCACGGTCTGCAGGCCCGAACTGACCCTGCGCTCAGCATCATGCTTTAGACTAAGGCAGGGCGGCTGTAAAGGGAGGGCCGCGTCCCGCGACCACCCTCCCTCATGCCACCCCCTCAGACCAGCTGGATTCAGTGTGGCCGGACGTCCGACCTCGCTGCCCAGACTAGACCGCAGGGTCGTGGGCCCCGGCACTGGCCTCCGCCTCAGGCTGCACACTCCCGTGCCCTCCTCCCCCCGCCCCCGGGAGCTGTGCCGCGCGCTTACCTGCCCGGGCTAGCCGCAGGCCCGGGGCCTGGACCCGCTGGTCCGGCGGTCGCCCGCGCCCCGCCTGTGGCCGGGAGCTGTCCTCCGCCTGCCGGTGCTGAAGGCGGCTTCCCTGCACCGGGGCCCGGGCCGGGACCGGAGCCTCCGGGCGGCAGAGGCCCGTCGCCAGCGCCGCCCTCCAGGCTGGCCTCGTTGCCCATGGCGGGCAGGCGGGCGGGCGGGGTCGGGGTCGCACAGGGCCCGGGCCGGCGGCTCCCGGGCGGCTCTCACACGCTCCGCTCCGCCGCCGCCGCCGCCGCCATCTCCCGGGTCCGCTAGCGCCGCCGCCTGCCGCTGCGCATGCGCGGCTCGCGTGCCCCTCTCTGCACACGCCCCCCCCCCTCCACGAGTGCGCGCGCTCCCGCCGGCCTGTGAGGACTTTAGTCCACGAGCCTGAGGTTGGATCGCGGGGATACAGGCGCCGGCGCATGCGCCCTTCAAGGCCGACGCGGCCGGCGGGTGCTGTGCCGCGAGAGTTGGTAGGAGCGTCCCACCTAACCAGGATTGGAAGGACACGGACAAGACGGGTCCGTGGGGGCGTCACTCCGTGCCCTGCCCTGGAATCGGTGGCGCTTTCTGACTCGGGGAACTTGGGCGTGGGAGCTCTCGTTTGGGTAACTTCAATGTCCCAGCTTTTGGCAGACTTCGTGGGAGCTGGCTTCAGAGAGGGGATGCCGAGTGTGGTGTTCAAGGATGTTTGAGTTGGAAACGCTAATGAACGAAGAGTGTTCAGAGGCGCAATGTCATGGAAGGACGGAGATTTTAAAGGATGCTAAGATATGGGGCTGGTTATGAGGTTCTCAAAGGCTAGCTGGGGATTGAAGACTTTATCCAGGTGGCACGGTGGCAACCATCTGGGATTCAGGCCCAGGTTTGGTCCCGGGAGATGGGAACTTCAGAAAGTGTACCTGGGATAGGTGGTCGGTGTGTCAGGGTTGGCCTGAAGCCAGATGGAAAGCTGCTTCAGTAGGCCCTGGGACAGTGACCTTGAGGATGGGGAGGGGGGAGAGTTGATACTTCTTGGAGGTTTTGGACTGTGGTTCCCAGGGACTGTCAGATGAGGGGCTGCAGGCTGCCTCTGCATGGACCTGAGAGCCTACCAGTTACTTTTCCCGTACCTCACTTTTACAGACTTCAGTGTTTGCATCCTACTCTGACTCCTTGCTTCTCACACAAACCTGTGCTTTCCTGAGAGAGCTTATTTCTTAGAAGATATTCCAAACTACATAAATCACAGCTGTGTAGAGGAACTTAAGTAAACTTGGACCTATTTTACAAATTCATCTAATTTTCCTAATGATGGAAGTGAAAAGTGAAAGTGTTAGTCACTCAGTCTTGTCCAGCTCTTTGTGATCCATGGACTGTTGAATGCCGGGCTTCTCTGCACATGGGATTCTCCAGGCAAGAATACTGGAGTGGGTTGCCTTGCCTTTTTCCAGGGGATCTTCCTGACCCAGGGATTGAACCCAGGTCTCCTGCATTGCAGGCAGATTTTTTACTGTCTGAACCACCAGGGAAACCTAATGATGGAGAATATATCAAATGGGATGTCAGCAGTTCTATCCTGACCTGGAATAATCCAGGGATCCCTATGAACTGATAACCAGATGGACAGACCTTAGCTGGGCCTTCCCATGCACACTGATCTGCTCCCTGTGACCTCTAGGATGGAGTTTCCATGAAGCCTGGATTGCTGACTTGACTACCTAACTCTGACTGCCTGGAACAACGAGAGCCTCTCTGCCCATGTTATGATAGTCTTCACTGTGTTTCCTCCTGTGTTTCGATCATCTTTGTGTCTGGTGAGTATGTGTATCTAGGCTCCTCAAGGATCCACACCTCAGCCCTGCCACTTCCCAAATGGGACCTTGGCAACTGACTTAAACTCACCAAGCCTCCATGTCCTAGCCTGCAAAGTTATAATACTAGCCCCCTCTAACGTGGGGGATTGTGAGAGTGGAGTGGCTGAAACAAATAAAACACAAGAACAAGGGCCTGGTGTACACATGGCCAAATTTATTACTAGTTGTCTCTCTGGTGGATGGTCTGGGATTCGGGAATTTTGTGCCACACCTTTTCTCCTGGGGAAGAACATGTACGCTGGCACTATGAGCAGGCCAGTGACCTGACCTTGGCCTGACCCAGGCCCTTCTGGCCTCACAGATACCAGTCAGTGTGGGCTGGACTGCTTGAAAGTGGGGAAGAAAAGGATGTTTGTTTTTGTAAAAGCCATAAGAGCTATGGCTTCCCACAGATTTAAATCTGCGCGCCCCTGGTTCCAGTGGGGAGAATTAGCCCTACCTGGGCAGCGGGCCTAGGGAGTTGCCCTTCTCAGAGTGGATTGTTGGCTGTTAGCAGACCTCCAGAGTCTCTGCTGCCTTGGCAACAAAGGGTAGAGTGCAGTGGAGACCTGGAAATGTGGGTTAGTGGTTCCCCTGTCCTCCTTTCCAACTGTCAATTTCACTTCCTCTGAGAAACATCCACAGGAACATGCCTGCCGTGTCCACATCCACCCCTCACATTTGACCCAGGGACTCCTGATGACCACGGTATGGCGCTGGCCTCTAGTGGTCTGGGGCTCTGACTTAGTCTCTGGTTTTTATTTACTGTTCCAGGAGTTGTTTCCTTCCTTCTGACTTAAGAGTGGAGGCTCTTCAAGAGCAGGACATTGTCTGGCTTGTCCTGTTCCCTGGGCTGGCCTTCAGCAGATCTTCAGGGTGGCTGGTTGGGCTAAGTTCTCTAGGCAGCTCTGGGCATTTCTCTCACTGGCACTTCCAAGGGCTTCACCAACCACCAGGCTAAAAGGACCCCAGAGGGACCTTTGAATTTAGCTCCTGCATCACTGTGTATGGGTTATTCACTTCATGAATAACAGGGAGGGTGCTGAGGTTGTGCCTAAAGTGTCTCCTGGTAGAGGGGTCATAGATGAGCTGCCTATACTAACTAGTATTCACTAGGCTTGACTTGATGATAAGTGAATGCACAAATCTCTAAGTTTATACAAACCAGCAGTTGGGATGTCTGGTACCATTTCCTCCTGGGTCCAGCTGCTGACCAGCCAGGGACAGGATGGACCTGGAGCCCCTACAGAAGTTTCCAAGCCCCCTAAACTTCACTTGCCGAAGGTATTTTCTTCCCACTTCGATGTGACATATGACCCAGAGCAGTCATTTTGGAGAAAGCCCAGATGGAAGGAGAATCAGTCTACATGCCAAAATAGAACTGATGGATGGATACTCGTCCACTGACTTCTCCAGCCTGTGCTCTCAAACACCCAAAGAAGACCAGAAAGAAAATGTAACTGGGGGGAATAAACATCTCTCCAGGTAGAAAAAGGCCTGTTCAGAGCCCGCTTGCTGCTGGAGTTGGTGGAAATGATTAGTCATTGGGAGGCAAATCTTGAAAGCCTGAAGAGATGCAGGGCCTTGGGACCTGCACCTGGATGCCAGCTGGGCCAATGGGTGAGGCGCCATGCAGGCAAGCCCAGGCACAGGACGGGCAGCATGCAAACTCTAAGGCTTTCCTGCTTCCCCACAGAGCCCAGTTCTCCCCAGGCCACTACTTTCAGTATGGTGACCTCTGCAGGGAGGCTCAGGAGCCAAAGGTGAAGATGCCGATGGGGGTAACAAAGAATGCCAAACCTTACCAGCAAGAAGGGGAGGCAGAGAGCATGGAGGTGGGAGGGAATGCGATGGATGGCTGAGGACAGTTCTGGATGGCATGGTGCCACGGGCTGTGGACTGTTCCAGAGAGAAAGACTGGGAGATCCAGCTTCCGGGGTCTCCTGACCTCTCTGCTCTTCTGTTTTGTTGTAGTGCTGCTGAGGCCTGTCTCACCTCCCAGGGAGAAGCCACTCAGGAAACTGGATCCCTGTCTGCATTCCTCCACTGGGATTGAAAAACAGAACTGAAGAGGAAGGAAGGAAGGAAGCGCGACGAAACAGGTTTCCCTCCTGGCTGAGGTTTGTCAGCACCACCCACTAACACGAGCAATAAGGCAGCTCCCCAAGCAAGCCGCAGGCTGGTATGAGGCTGGCTACAAATAAGAAACCCGATCGATCTGTGTCCTGCTCAGCAGCCCATCTGGGCTGGCCAGGACACTTTTGCTTGTATACTAGTTTATTCAGATGAGCCATGCATTTGGTAGAGTAGGAAAAGGGAGCAAAACTGAAAGGTATAGAACTTGCTGGAGGCCTCATCTGCCTAATTCCTTTCCTGTTGCACTGTGCGAATCTTTACTTGCATTCTGTGAAAAAAACCAGGGGGAAAAAAATCATCAGAAATGTTTATCACCAACCTAGCCCCACCGCCCATGCAGTGCTCTCAAGAAAGCTCATTAAGCCCCATTGCTATTAGAGTTATGTGCTTCCAAAGGCTTGTTGTGACAAGAAAAAAATAATGAAGACATGCTTTCTCCAAGTTGTAAGTGCCCAAGTCAAAATACACTGCTTTTCCTTGTCCCTCTGCCTTCCCTCAGACAAGCCTCCGGGCTGGCTTTGTGCATCTCATTCATGCATACCCGCATACTCATCCTCCTTCAGCCAGTGCCAAGCCAGTATTTACTCAGTACCAGGCCCAGTGACGACTAAGGGACCTTCCCTTAAGGAGTTCAATTTGCAGAATGGGAGAGACAAGCATATAAACGGTTTCCTATAAACTATAGAAAATACTATCTCAATCCCCATTGCAATCCTTCCCACTAGAATTCTAGTTTCCATGGAGTTGCCTCCACCTACCTCTGTCCCACAGATGCGGAGGTAAGGGGTGGGGAACAGACCCAGGTGGCAAGTCATGTCTGTATGCCCTCTCATGACGAGCCCATGTGTCCTACTCCAGGCAACAGAGGTTCAGACATGATTTGGACAGGTCACAGGAAAGGGACAGTTAGCTCAGCCCCTTCATCAGACTCAGCTCCACAGTCTTCAGGGAAGTCTTTTAAAGGGAACCCTACCTCGTGAGACTCTGTGGCTCTCCTACTGCAAATCCAAGCCCATTACTGAGAATTACCCTTTACCACCAGGGATTTCATGGGGCATAGCTATGCTCTGCACTGAGCTTTGTCTTTTCCTGGTCTGAGTGGATTAACATAGGGTTGGTTTGTCCAGGAAGCTTCCAGGAGTCACTGGAACAGTTCCTGCCTTCCAGGAAAAATAGACAGAATAGCACAGGTCAGTGAAATAAAACCCTTTTGACAAGTAGAAAGGTCCACAGTCCCTTAGGCCTCTCCCGGGATGGATGATTTCAATTTCACTCAATTCAATGTAGTTAAACTTAAATTTCAGTTCAATTTGGCACTTTTGAGCCCTAGGACAAAGACAGCATCACGCTAGGCCCCAGGGATGCAGCAGAAACTAAGACCGTTGAGCCCACACTACCCTCACTGAAGCTGCAGTCTCCAAGTCCGGCCTTTGCCTGCTGCTCAAACCAGGTCCTGATTCTGGAGGCCCTGACTGCTGACCCTCCATGAAGGGACTGCAGGCATCCCCTGTAGCCCTGCGTGTGGGCAAAGCAGACTCGACCAGGCGAGGGCTGAAGTCACACAGAGGTCTCCCCAGAATCTGGGGTGGGTAGCAGCAGGTGTCAGTTGTACAGAAGCATCTGGGTTACCACCGCGAGTTACGTACTGATAACTCCCCCAGTTGGCAGAGCCGGCATGGGCATCAGCTCTCTCAGGTGGTACCCTTTCTGACCAGAAGCTAATA